TAAATAAAAAAAAGATTAAAAAATAATGAAAGGGCCAGCAAGATAGCTCAGTGGTCTAAAGTGCCTGCTTAGGCAAGCTTACGCAGGCACAGGGAACCCTGGTTCAATCCCTAGCACCACACACTGGGCCAGCCCCACCCTTGATGGGCTGAACCGACAAATAAATAAATAAAATTTAAAAAATAATGAAAAATAAAAATAAATGCTGGGCCAGCCAAATAGCTCAGCGGACTAAAGGGCCTGCTTCAGCAGAGCACAGCAGCTGGGGTTTAATCCCTGCTATGCTGGTCCTACCTCCGGTGGTGCGCTTAGACAGCAATTGAGACTGGGTGTGGTGGTGCGTGCCTGCAATCCCAACACTTGGGAGGCCGAAAACAGGAGAATCACTATGAATCCAATCTATGTAGTGAGACCCTGTACACCCTGTAGACCCTTCCCTAAAATTCATAAATAAATGCTGATATCTTATACACTGAATAATTTACAGATAACACAACTAAATGTGTTGAATATTGTTACCCTCCTGTTAACTTATTTTGACACTTTTTTTCTCTTTAAAAAATAAGGGCCAGGGCTGGTGAGATGGCTCAGTGGTCTAAAGCACCTACTTAGAACAAGCTTAGCTAAAGCACAGGGACCACGGTTCAATCCCCAGCACCACATGCCAGCCCGCCCCGCCCCTTGGTGGGCTGAGCTGGCCACACACACACACACACACATACATAAAAAAAAAAAAAAATAAAAATAAAAATAAAAAATAAGGGCCAGAGGGGCTGGTGAGATGGCTCAGTGGTCTAAAGCACCTTAGAACAAGCTTAGCAAAGCACAGGGACTGCGGTTCAATCCCCCAGCACCACATGCCAGCCAGCCCCGCCCCCTGGTGGGCTGAGCTGGCCACACACACACCACACACACACACACACACACACAAATTAATTAATTAAAAAAAATAAGGGCCAGAGAGCTGGAGAAATAGCTCAGTAGAATAAGTGCTTGCTTGGCAAGCACAAGGGCCTGGGTTCAATCCCCGGTTCTGCAAAAAAATAAATAAATAAATAAATAAAAATAAGGGCCAGATAATTCAGTGGATTAAAGCACTAGGGACCAGAATTTGACCCCTGGTGCACCATGCCAGCCCTGCCCCAGGGTGTGCTAAGACAGTAATTAAAAAATAAAAATAAATGGTGGTGTGCATGGTGGTGTAATCCCAATGCTTGAAGGCTGAAAACAGGAGGATCAGTAAGAGTCCAATTCGTGTAGCAAGACCCTGTACTAAATACAAAAAAATAAAAATAATTTTAAAATAATAAATTAAAAAGAAATTTTTGTACAGAGCTGGCGAGATAGCTCAGTGGACTAAGTGCCTGCTTAGGCAGGCACAGGGACCGAGGTTCAGTCCCCCTGTATTCCATGCCACAATGAGCCAGTGATGCAGTCCAGGCATGGTGGCCCACATTTGTAATCCCAGCACTGGGGAGGCTGAACACTGGAGGATCACTACGAGTCCGAGCTACACAGTGAGACCCTGTACCAAATACATTAAAAAAAAACAAAAAACTTTGGGCCAGATCTTTACACTCATAGACATCTGTTAATCACCTAAGAAGTATCTGTAATATAAAATGTGCTAGCCCTGAATTTACTTAGGCCTATCATTCTCCTTTAAGACTGAGAACACAGGGCTGGTGAGATGGCTCAGTGGTCTAAAGCACCTACTTAGAACAGGCTTGGCAAAGCACAGGGACCGCGGTTCAATCCCCCAGCACCACATGCCAGCCAGCCTTGCCCCCTGGTGGGCTGAGCTGGCCACACACACACACACAAATAAGTAAATAAATAAAAAACCAAAACTGCATTAAAAAAAAAAAGAGAGATTGAGAACACAAAATGTAACTGAGTCACAGGATTTGCAGGGACATTTATTGCTAGCTTTTACAATGTCAGGGCCAGGCCAAACTAGGTGAGAGCAATGCAGACAGGTCTCCAGGGACTGCCCTACATCTTCAGTCATCTTGGGTTCTCAGAGAGGCAGAGCATGGCACATAATCCCAGGATGAGGCCACTGCCCCAAAGGAGCAATTACCCCATGACAAAATCAAAGGTGTCCCCTGCAGTGTCATCCCATTGCCTCCAGGAGGATCCAAATTGTGCCCTCTAGCTGCAAAAGCTCTCCCAGCACCTCGCAGAACCAGTCCTGAGACAAGGATCAACCAAAGCAAAGCTTGACCAGGATTATTTGTCTACTTACCTATTGTGCAAATCCCCAACCCTTGCCTGTTCTCCTTGTCTATTAGACCCTAAGTCCTGTTGGCCCCTTTAAGACCTGTCTTCAACCTCTTTATCTATCTTCCCAGCATAAGCAATGTTGATTAAATCTTCTACCTTTGACTGGCTTTTTTTTTTTTTTTTTTTTTTTTGCAGAACTGGGTATTGAACTCAGGCCTTGTGCTTGCCAGGAAAGCGCTTATTCCACTGAACCACCTCCCCAGCCCCCCTTGACTGGCATTTTGAAAGGAGTGGCCAAGTGTGGTCTGTTAGGATTCCCACAGCCAGGTATTTCACCCTAAACTCTGGAAACGTGACAGAGGATACCTGGGTTAGCAGCAATGCTGGAAATGCCAGCAGTCGGGAGGCTGAAGAAAGAGGAGCACCACAGTTTGATGCTAGCCTGGGCTACATAGTTGAGTCCAAGGCCAGTCTGTACTACAGTGAGACCCTGTCTCAAAAAAAAAAAAACACACACATATTTGTTCAACTAATGCATAAATACACAAAAATTAGATTAAAATGCTAGTGAGCTGTTAGTACATGTATACACAGGATAGTTAGGACTGTACTACTCTTTTCTATTGGTCTTTTGAAGGGAGCAGTAAATGCTTTAAAATTTTATTTTGAACAATTTTACATGCTTTTATCTGGTAATTAGAGCAACTATTTGAAGACAACAATATGCAATATAACAACCGTCAGTGAATTCTGATCTTGAAATTTGAAATGCTGTATCATTTCTAATGTCTTATCTATTATTTTTATTCTCTTTAAAATAAAAATAATGGGGAGCCGGGGAGATGGCTCAGTGGAAGAAGCGCTTCCCTGGCAAGCACAGGGGCCTGAGTTCAATCCCCAGTTCTGCAAATAAATAAATAAAAATAATGGGCTGGGGAAGATAGCTTGATAGTCTAAATGTCTGCCTGGCAAGCACCAGGACCCGGGTTTAATTTCTGGTACCAGTTGCATGGCACGCCATGCCAACCACCAAAACTGGGCATGGTGGTAATCCCAGAACTGGGGAGGCTGATACAGTAGGATCACTAGAGTCCAAGCGGCATGAGACCCTGCATCAACCAAAATAAAATAAAAAACATTTTAAGGCTGGGCATGGTGGCACTGGGGGAGGTCAGGAGGCTTCAGCAAGGAGGCTTCAAGCCAAGCCTGAGCAACTTAATGACTGAGCAAGGGGCTGGAGAGATGGCTCAGTGGTCTAAAGCACCTACTTGGAACAAGCTTGGCTAAAGCACAGGGACAGGGGTTCGATCCCCCAGCACCACATGCCAGCCAGCTGCGCCCCCTGGTGGGCTGAGCTGGCCACACACACCCACACACACAATAAATGTTAAAAAAAAAATAATAAAAATAAGGCTTGTTTTTAAAAAAAAAAAAAAAATGACTGAGCAAGACTGTTATCTTAGGAACCAGGGACAGTCAGTAGAATAAGCACTTGCCTGGCAAGCACAAGATCCTGAGTTCAATCCCTGGTAAGGTTTGGGGTTCTACCCCCAGTGCCACCACCACCCAAAGTTCCTGAGCCCTAAGTAAATTAGCTAGATGTGGCGGTACACACCTATATGCCCAGCATACTGGGAGGATGAGGCAGAAGGATCCCAAGTTCCAGCCCAGCCCTGGCAATTTAGTGAACTAGTAAGACCCTGTCTCAACATGTAAAAAGGGCTACGGCCTAAAAGCCCCAGGTTCAATCACCCAGTAGCATAAAACAAAACCAAGTTTCTGGCTTCTCCTGGCTAGTATCAGAAGCTGTGACCCCTAGGGGCAGCTAACATCTGGTGGACATAAATGGGCCAGCTCCTGCCATTCAACAGTAGCCTTGTTTTACTGAGTCTGTCAGCTGGCTCTAATAAACACTGGAACAAATCTGTCTTCCTAGTTCAGGCCTACAATGGGTTATCCTAAGGTCTAGGTTTGGATTTGGTTTTGTATGTGTCCTAAATTCATGGACACACTAACATGTTAGACATACACAAATTCGTCTGTTCTCTGGTACATCTTCCCAAAAAGTTTAATGGCAGTATCTGTGAAGACACAAATTCTGAGAAGACCGTCTGCTTAATTGATCTTGTTATATCTAGCCTTTATGTAATCAATTTGATCTTGATTTAATAAGACGTGATTAAAACTCGTATGTAAAAGTGCCAGCAATGAAAGAGATCTTTAGATCAGCAGAAAACTTGTTAAACGATTAACAAAGTTAACTAAGTTGTGACCAGTGGGGACTGACACTTGGCTCCTATCTGCTCAGTTCCCACCTAAGCATCTCTACCCCGCTTCCTACAAATGAGTTATCAATACAGTTCCCGCTGGTCGACCTATGACTGATTCCCAACTTGCATTCTGTGTTCAATGAATTTCTATCAGTACAGTTCCAACCAGCGGCCTCAGAACGGCATGATTCCCACCAGCGGATCTCCATCCACACAGCTCCCACCAGTGGCTCTGACGGAAACGACTTCCCCGAGCGGCCCAAGCTGGTCGGTCGCACGCAGGCACCGAGCCCAGGGCCCCGCGCCCGCCAGGCAGGCGGCGCCGCTGCGCTGGGGTGCAGCCCCGGCCCGGCTAACGCGCTTCCCCGGACGCTCTGGTGCCGGGCGCGCACGCCGACCCTCGCTGAAGCGCGGCGCGCCGGCGCTGCCCCGAGCTACCTCCCCGCGGCTGGGTCCCTGTCCACACAGCTCCCACCAAAGCGTCCCCACGGATTCGACTCCCACCCATGGTCCACCAGACGCGGCTCCCGCCGCGGGGGTCTTCTGAAGCGCCTCCTGCCGCCGCACAAGCCCGCCACCGAGCCACCCGGCCGCACCCGCCAACCCGCCCGAAGCGCCAAAATGGAGGCCGGAAGCGCCACCGCCCTCGCTCGCCCGCCCGCCCGGCGCCCGGC